TACAAACTGTGACAAAAGTATAAAGCTTTTTTTCTTTTTTTAAATATTCTTATGTGAGACAAAAAGGGGGGATACATTGGGGGGGAAACATCTCTAGTGATAACAACTCTTTCGTGCCTTTATGAACAGAAACCTGGCCAGCCAGTGATTCTCATCAAGCCTTCCCAACTAATTCAGTCATCAATATTTCACCTTCTTTACATCCCTTCCCTCTGGTAATAGAATGGTACGAGCACCAAGCTGGTCCAATAGTAACAGGATTTGATTCCATATAAACACAGAACCTTCCTCTGATTACAAAACAGGTGATCCTGAGTTGTCATACTTCATATTTACAACTCTTCCTTTACTCAAACCTAATCCCAATCTTAATAAAACCTTAATGTAACAGATTCAAAGCGCCATCGTTACCGTACACGCCTTTCAAGCAGGAGGAAGTCTCCTTTCTTTTCAACACTGATGTGAATACTGCAGTCCTACACAGTCCACTGTATGGAACAAACACTGTGGAGGATGTATTAGCCATGTTACAGAACAACAACTTTATCAGAGGGTGAAAATAAAGACCTTTCAGTGTTTTTAAACAAGCATAACAAATACAGCATAACTTCGGACTGGCCTGTGGGGAGTTGTTTGCTCATGAAGCATCATGATTGAGTGGTTATATTGATCCTTAGTTTTTTTTTATAGTGGGAGACATCATTAGAAACATCCTCGGAGTATTGTGGAGTGTTTGATGGACCCCTGGTTTCAGTTTTGATCCATCCATAATGTCAAACAACGTCAGATCTCCTTGTGAGTGTGCAGCGCTGCTCTGACCTGGAAGAGAGAAGAGAGACAGAAAATGTATAAGATAATCAGATGTATTTTAAGGATTAATTGTGAGCATAAATTAAACATTCAATATAAAATGTTACATTTTTTTGTGTATATATATATTTCATATATATGTACATATTTACACATTTGTGTACTATACCATATTTTAATTAATTAACCTTTCATTTCATTTATTCACACATTTATGTATTTATCTTTATAACATTTGAGTTTGTACTTGAATTTAACCATAGTTTAAGTTGCTTCAGCTAAATAATTAACTGCATCACTAAAATTAATATATTTAATGTCTATTTTACTTTAATATTGATTTATGGTGACTTTTAAGCATTACATTATGGTGAATTTATTCATTATTTTAAGAATACATTTTACAATTAGTTATATATATATATATAGATATATTTTTTTTTTATCAGTCCTTATTATTCTCCATATTATAAAATAAGCATTGCATTTTTTTTTGTTTATTGTTAAAACGTTATTTCCAACCTACCGAGGTGCTTTGGTACATGTTGAGTAGGGGGATCTGCCAGACCATGATGGTGGAGGTGGTGTCGTCATGGCGAGACTGTTTGGTCTTCTTGTTGACCCTGCGGTGGCCCAGCCCTCCGGAGACCACCAGCAGAGAGCTGACGTCCACCTTGCTGGCACGGCGGCCCCTCAGGTGGTGGGCCGGGTCGTGCAGCGTGTCATAGAGGGCCCCGTCCTCCGGCCCGTGCTCCAGGGAGCCCTGGGACGGAGCCAAGGAGCTGCAGGACGAGGACATGGAGTCCTGGAGAGCCATGGAGGTGCAGCCTGCCTCCCCCAACCACACGCCGCGTCCCTGAGGGGGAGACGTGGCTGAGTCTGGGGGGGGCTGCGAGGTCTCCCCATCCTCTGTGTCTGCTGGCTGCACTGAGGTGGGGGGGTTGGATGATGGAGGGCCAGAGGGCCGGTTACACACCGCAGCAGCCACGCTCAGGAACTTCACCGGACCGTTGTGAGCATGTAAGGACACCATGCCCCGCCCTGACCACAGGCACACACACTTTAACATTCACACACTTTATTATATATCTCCTGTATACATTAAGTGAAAGTGATATTTCCCCAAAACCTGTATGTTGGATTCTCCACTTTGTTTTTGACAACCATTTGATAGCTTGTGAAGTTAAGATTAAGTAAAGCTTTGCTAAAGTTGGTTGTTGTTTCAATAACCATCTAGTTTTCCATTTAGTTTCATTCATCCGAGTTCCCTTTGCTTGAACAACCAATGTTAATCATATCTGTAAAACCAACATAACTAATAATTGCGCTAATTAGCTTCTTAAAAAATAATGATATTGCTGTTAACTGTGTTCTTGGTTGCAGCAGCTGCCAAACTCTAAGTCTCCATTAGTGCGCACTGATGTTAGCTTTGTATGGCTGTGTCACTAGCATGAGTGGTAACTTGATAACATTGAATAAAATAAATATTATTGAAATAAATGATTTGTTTTCTTTGCCTTGTCTAAATCATGAATCTAAGTCAACCCATTAGTTATGAAAATAATCCTTTGTAATAGGCCTATGTGTCAGAACATAACAACATGTGATACAGTGCTGTTTGGGTGTTACCTGTGACCTTGGGGATGCCCTGCAGTCGGGGGACAGAGAGGGCCACAGTGACCCCCAGGTTGGTCCCCACCAGCAGCAGACCATGACAGACCAGCAGGCTGCTCACTGACACTCTCTGGTTCCCTGTGAACAAAATACAATTTAGTTTGTGACATTTAGAGAGAAAAAAGCTAACAAACGCTTCATGGTGAACACAGTTGCAAAGTGTTCATATGTATCCTGAAAAATCAGAGAACTGTGATTTGACTACAGTGCAGGGGAGGGAGGGAGGTGTATCTTCTCAGTGGGCGGGGGCATTTCTGCAAAGAAAGCATGCTCAAAAATGTTTGTCTCCAGGGCAACGTGAACAGGAGCCAGGATAAAAGCTGCTCTTTTCAAGCGTCTGTACGCAGCAAAATGCACCACTTTGAGTCAAACTAACAAACACAAAAGTGTTTTGTTACAGACCGAGTGAAGCGTAAAGCTGTAATTAAGCGAGGAGCTCTGCCTCGGAGGCAGCTACCCACAGGACGATCCGACCCGACCTTTTCTCTTCCCTCTTGGTCAGAAACATCTCTGAGATGCCTCTTCGGACTGTCAAAGCCGGGATTGTTAGTTTAACAGCGCCCTTCAGATAGAGCCAGCCTGCTGACAGCGCTCTGTGTTAGGTGACTTATTATGTGGAACTTGGCACTCGCATCAGACCGTCCCCACACGGGAGCTTTGTCAGGAATAAGAAGAGCAAACAAATGGCATGTAGTAAGACATTTTAATGGTTGTACTAAGAATCTGGGTTTTTGCAATAACCGTCTTTTTGGTCCTGCTATGTGGGAGGTGAGACTGTCATGACTCATTCCTGCTGTAACAGCTTGACTTGAGTTTCCTCCTTCAAAGTAATCCTCTTGGGCTTTAGGAAAAAGTACTGCCAGTCTCTCGGCCTGACCCCCCCCCCACTAGAGCTGACCCTCTGCGTGGGGCACACGCACGCCATCCTGCAATACTTCCAGGAATCACGGCAGATAGGCAGCCACGTACAGTAAAGGGCCGGGGCCGAGTCCTGCCCACATGTGCTTCTAATGAGGGCCCAGCCTTAGCAGAATCACACAGTCTGCTGGTGGGGGCCTTGCTCAACTTCCTCCTTTCATAATATTTGGAGTTCCCCACCCAGAGGGTGAACTAAAATAAACCCAGAGTGAACGTCAACAGTGACCGGCTCTGGCCCTGATCCTGCACCAGAGACCCACTTTGATCTGCACTTAGTCCTGACAACCAACAGCAGGAGGGAGGAGCAAATCTCAAACATTACAAAAATACACTACTTCAGTCTAGAAATAGCTCGCATCAGCACAATTTCAGTCCCTATCTTAGCAAGCTATACCCTGGTTTTACGTTACTCCATTTGTCGATCAAATTCACGTTGGAAAAGGTTTAGGGTACTGTGTATTTTATAGAAGTACAGCACGTTAACGGCTCTGTGTGGATGTAGTTAACTACAGCAGTGTTTTAACGCTAGCATGGCAACAACATGTTGATATCTTGTAGCTACAGTATAATGTTTACCATGATCAATTATAGTTTAGCTTTTCAGCTTGCTAAAATGTCATAAGTACAGCATCAGAGGGTTATCAATTATAATTATTTTGGAAGGGATAACTTAAATATACATCACATTTCACCACAAACTCATGGTTTGGAGACAAGAAAGGTCAAGGTGTCAAGAGTGTCAAGAGGTCATCTTCTGGAGATATAGGAATCGTTCTTATAGTTGTTGAGATATGGAGTGAACAACAACCAAGCTAGCTTTTAGTAAGCGAGACAGAGATGTCATTTCAATCACTGGCAGTGTCACACATATCTTGAAATAATCAAACACTGCATACTTCACAGTTCATGAAGAATCATAACTTTCCATGTCAATCTGAATGTTTTCAAGTTAAGTATCACATGAGGACACGTTTTAACTCGAGCTTCGGCACATTGCAGCTGCAGTAAATCATCCAGTCCTATCATGTTTAATCCTAGCATCTGTGAGGGAGTGGATGATCACTCAGGAATAAGCGTCTTATCGGTGTTGGGATATGTGCAACAATGGTAGTGTACAAACAATAGCATGGCTGTAGGTGTTATTTACTGCCCCCCC